ATCCCATTGCCCCCCGCCGCCCCCCCCCCCACACCGGGCGTTCTACGATCAGCCCTTACCCTGAGGTCCAGTGGCTGGTCGTCTTAAATCCCCCTTTGCCGTAACCTGCCCTATTCACAGGTTCCGAGCATTAGCAGCTGGACGTTTGGGGGAGGGGCCGCTATTCTGCCTGCCACGCCCGTGTGCATCTGTGTGATTTTATCACTGTTTTCTGATCATACATAGGGCACTTGCATAATTAAATAATATACTCTTTGAGGAAAGAAACAGATACTTTGTATCTTCCACATTTTTGTATTCTTTCCTCTGTAAATGTGCAATGGAATTTTTAATGGGTTGAATGTTTCTGATTATAAAAGTAGAAAACTTTGTAAAGAAGTTACACTGTGCTAGATTGGTTTAATTTGGGAGACAGAAGGCAGAGAGGAACCATCTTATTTATATTCTGTGCATCTCAGTATGAAATAGCTTTTTATTTAAAGAGAAAGCAAGTAATTAAAAGATGTCTAGCTAATCAAAACTTATTACGTTCTGAGATATTATTTCTGTATAAATGCGCCTGCTTTGGAACTCTTTAGTAAACTAGTAGAATTTTTAAAAACCAGAGGGGGAGGAAACAATATGTTTGAAGAGCTACCACACAGGGCTGGATATTCTCACATACTTCCTTTAATCCTCACAGCAACCCTGAGTCTTCATTTGGGAGTGAGAAACTGAGGTTCCCTTAAAAAGTAAATTAACTTTTCCAAAGCATGGAGAAAAGCCTGTTTTTAGTAGAAAATCATCAGTTCAATAGTTGGTTACAATTTGAATATATTTTAAACTCTTAAATAGCTCTTTTCTTTTCGAATAGACTGTTAATGTGAAATAGCCTGCTAATTTTCCATTAGGGGCCAAAGTACGTGTGTTTAAAGTGGTATGTCACATCTTGAATATAGATTTTTCTTATGTGGAAGGTCATCACTAAAGAAAAACTGACTCTCTGGTTCCTTCCAAATGAAAGTTAGCAGAATAAAAGAGTTATATGAACAGTAGCAAAAATCTTCTGCATAATTTGATTGGTTTGTGACAGTTTGTCAGTTTTTTCTTGTCCTCCTCATTGCTTCCCTGTCCTTGAGCAGGGATTTCACTTATGTTTTCCTTAACTGAGAAGCAGGTCCAGAAATGTCAGTCCCTGTGGCCATTCTTCTCTTGCCCTAGTGCTCTACTTTTAGTCCCTCCACTTCCTCTGCTGCCACCTTCTCTATTTCCAGGGGAACTAAAGAAGGGAGCAGCCTTTTGGTCAGCAATTTGAAAGCCGTAGCAAGGAAGTTATCAGATGAGAACACCTCTGTTGTGCTGGGCTCTCATTCCTGAGAGAAGCAGAACTGCTTTGTCTCATGGCCTTTGGAGGGAGTTATTGAGAAGGCAGCACACAAAGCTGGTGGCAGGGAAGGCAGGTGCCCTCGGTCAGGGTGATGAGCTCCTCATGCCACGTTGTTCCTCTTCCCACCATATGCACCATCGCAGATTTCTAAAGCAGATCTGTTTTCACTGTAACAGCAAATTGCAACGTTATTTTGCACCAGGCACTGTATTGAGTAGATTATATGACTTACCACCTTTTTTTTTTTTTTTTTTAAGAAGCAATATGAGTTTAATTACTCTGGAAACAGTCACCCCCCAAATGATGCCTAAACCTAAAAGGTACATAAAAATGACCAAAAATATCTTAAAATAATAGAGCTGAAGGTTAATTGTCATTTTTCCCTCAGAGCAAGTGTGTGTTCAGCTGGACAGTAAATTACAAACCATGTCAAACCATGTTAAGGCAGATGATAAATCTGGTTGCATTTGTTACCACTCCCGGGCAAGTGACCTCGTGGGAGCGGGGCGTTCTTCCTCCCAGCTGTGTGGTCAGTCAGTCCAGGACGGGGCAGCCCTGGAGGCAACAGATGGAGACCAGGCCCTGCCTGTCTGGCCACTGCTCGTCCTGCTGACCCTCTGTGACTGAAGTGGACACAGCACCCTGGCCCTTGTTGACATCACTGATGCACACCTACTGCCTGTCGACCGACTCCTTCCACAGGGTCACCCTATTGTCTCCCCTTGAGGCGGCCAGGATGTTGGCTGTGATGAGCTGGCTCCCGTGCCATACAACATCGCTGAACTTGTGCAGCAGTTTGGGGGACCACGCACTGCCCGAGGCACCATCACAGGCCCAGATGAACACTGGACCATCCTGGGAGCAGCTGGCAATGGTGCTGGTGGGCAGGCCGATGGAGGGGGCCCAGGCCACATCTCAAACCCAGTCACTGTGTGCTTCCAACTTCTGCCCTTCCTTCCACTGCCACCCTCCTCCTCCGTCCACGGTTTGATGCGGTTGTCACAGCCAGCTAATGCAAACTTCTTGATGTAGTTGGGCTTCTGCCCAGATGGCTGGTCTGTGAGTCTTCCAGGTCCGACAGCAGGGGCCCAGCTGACGGCATTGCAGCCCATAGTGTGAGCACTGTTGGTCTTCACTTCCCACCGGCCCACCCTGGTGTAAGTCAGCAGAGAAATGGCCCCATCCGAGCTCCCACAGGCTAGGATCGGGCCGTAGTCATGGGGGGCCCAGCACACAGTTTACTGAGGAGTCGTGTCCCGTGTGCTCATGCGTCTTCTCCCAGGTGCCATTTTCCTCTTTCCGGTTGTAGGAGCAGGATGCCAGGACATCGCCATACATGGGGTGGGCCCAGGCCACTCACCACACAGGACCCTCATGACGCCTGAGGTCAGCGACGAGGATCTTTCCTCCGCTGAGCACATCAGAGGTCTTGACGGGCCTGTCTGATGAGCAGGTTGCCCGGCAGGTGCCGCGGTGGTCCGCCTGGGCATCTCGCTGCAGAGGGAGGGCTGCTCGGGAAGCTTGCGGGAATCACGTCCTCATGGGGCGTGTCCGCAGTGGTAATGACTGACGCCAGTCATGGCAGCTCCAGGCTTTGGACATGGCAGGTCCCGGCGGCGCGTTGACTTACCACCTTCTGTCGTTGTAACATCCCAGTGAGGCATAGGTGCCACTGTCGCTTCATTTTATAGATGAGGAAACTTAGGTGCAGAGAGGGGGAGGTCATCCAGGGCCACAGGGGCCTGTGAGGGGAGAGTCGGGATTGAAGTCAGTTATTCATACTGCTCTGTGCTTTCTCTAGTGACAGTCTTTGTAAATACAATTTCCTATAGAAGACCACCTACTCTGTGGTGTAATGGCCATAAAATAGCTTTATTTATTGTTTAGCCAGTGACCTTAATAATTTAATAATAATTCATTGTGTGACTGTCATATTTTACTTTTTTAATGTAACTTTTATTCTTTGTAATGATTAATTTCTTTTAAAGTTTGGAACCCATTCACTGACTTGTGGAAGATAGTAATGGGCTTTGGCCTGTTTATTTGTTTATTGAGATGTAATTCACATACTGTGCAATTCACCATCCTACGGCATATCATTCAGTGGTTTTCCATGTATTCGCCAGGTTGTGCAACCGTCACCACTATGTAATTCCAGAACATCTCCATCACCCCAAGGAGCCTGTAGCTCTTAGCGGTCGCTCCCTGCTTGCTCCTCTTGCCATCCTGTGCCTAGAAAATCTGTACAGCTTGTGTGGCCTAATTTTGTTTCCTGCCATTCTTCCACTTCCACATTGAGTTACATTGGCTTTTTCTTAGTCCTGCAGTGCTCTTTGTGCCTGTTCCGTCTCAAGACAATCACTGAGCTGCTTTCTGTCACTATGGATTAGTTTGTACTTTTTAGAATTTTATATAAATGGAATCATACAGTTTGTACTCTTTGTTTGGGAGTGAGTTTGGCTTCTTCCACGTAGCATAATCATTTTGAGATTCCTCCAGTCATTGTATGTATCAATAGCTTGTTTCTTTTTACTGCTGCTGAGCAGCCTTGAATAGAACTGGTGAGGGTGGGCGTCCTTGCCTTGTTCCTTGTCTGCTGGGGAAAGCACCTGTTCTTTTATCATTCTTTAGGCCTTAGACCCATCATCCATTCTAGTTTCCCTCGTGTCATTTTCTTTCATATCACCTTGTTCTTTTTCTTCGTAGTCACATAGTGTATGATTATATATTTTTATTTGTTTAGTGTACTTTTTTCTCACTTGTCTCCAAAGACCATATTGTTTTGTTACTCTGTATACAGCACCTGGCACATAATAGGTGTACAAGCAATATTTCTTGAATGAACCCTGCATGAATAGTTCTTTCTTACTTTCTTGCTAACCATCAGTGTTTTTTAAGTAAAACATCTGAGAGACAGAAAATAATACCACATGAGTTATTAACCATTCCAATCATGAATTGTTTTATTTATAAATGATTGAGTGAAAAGCTAATAACCTTCAGTAATTGCTTTCATGGCTTTGAATACAAACTTTATTAATGTAAAATGTTTTCTCATGAGAATGAATTTGTGGTTTTGGGAACTAATTTTAGTATTTTTCTTCTGGTTTTTCCTTCTGGCTCCTGGAACATAATAAGGAATTCTTAATTAAAAAAATTTTTTTACCCAGTTTTCTACATTTTTTGACCACTCTGAAAAGATAACCAAACACAACCTATTAATTTCTAAGTTAGGCAAAGATAGTAGCTTCTAAAAATTATTTACGTGGATGGATAAAAAGCTTCTGCATTTGCATGGAAGCTGAAAACGTAAAATTGCAGAGCCACCATTAAACCAGCTTTTCAGGTGAAACTTTGGAAGAGAATAATCATATGTTTATCTAATGAAAAAATTCAGATTTTCACATACGTTCATTTAGATCTATGTGAAAATCATAGACCATTCAGATAAAAGAATACTTCTGTGCTGGACATCTAGGTAGATGGTCTTACCTGGGATCTGGTAAGGATGGATAAAATGAGCATACTTTTCTCTCATGAACTCCTTAAGTTTAGACTAATTGATTACTTAGTAAACATCCAGCTTGATTTATAACTTCATTTATAATAGCATTGTTTTAATTTATGAGGCCACTTGTAAATTGAGTCATTTAAAATGCATTAAGGGAGTCATAAAATAAGAATACTGTGTGAATCTTTTGAAATACGAACATCTATTACCTTTTATATTGTGGAAATTTATATAGTTATGTATATAACTATATATCTCATCCCTCAAATGAGATGTACTTAGGGACCCTGATGTCTAAAATTTACACATTTTCTTTTTATTTATTTATTTTGGCTGCTCTGGGTCTTCGTTGCCACGTGTGGGCTTTTCTCTAGTTGCGGCGAGCAGGGGCTACTCTTCATTGCAGTGTGCAAGCTTCTCATCGCGGTGGCTTCTCTTGTTTCAGAGCACGGGCTCTAGGCGCATGGGCTTCAGTAGTTGTGGCGCACGGGCTCAGTAGTTGTGGCTCATGGGCTTTAGAGCGCAGGCTCAGTAGTTGTTGCTCGTGGGCTCTAGAGCGCAGGCTCAGTAGTTGTGGCACACGGGCTTAGTTGCTCCGCAGCATGTGGAATCTTCCCGGACCAGGGCTTGAACCCATGTCCCGTGCATTGGCAGGCGGATTCTTAACCAGGGAAGCCCTAAAATGTACACCTTTTCAAAAGTCATTTTGCAGAATCTTAGGGGGAAAAAAACCTCTTTTCATTGATGAATTGAGGCTTTGTATGAGTCATTTATGGCCAGTTTTTAAATTAATGAATATTTGCATGTAATTAGAAGTGTTGAATTCTTAATGACTGACCTACAAATGAATGTAGGACTGTATTTCACATATAGTCTATGTTAATATTAAGACTTAATTGAATTTGTGCATTTTGTTATTTTTTATTTTTGGCTGTGCTAGGTCTTCGTTTCTGTGTGAGGGCTTTCTCTAGTTGTGGCAAGTGGGGGCCACTCTTCATCGCGGTGCGCAGGCCTCTTCAAAGAGAATAATCATATGTTTATCTAATGAAAAAATTCAGATTTTCACATACGTTCATTTAGATCTATGTGAAAATCATAGACCATTCAGATAAAAGAATACTTCTGTGCTGGACATCTAGGTAGATGGTCTTACCTGGGATCTGGTAAGGATGGATAAAATGAGCATACTTTTCTCTCATGAACTCCTTAAGTTTAGACTAATTGATTACTTAGTAAACATCCAGCTTGATTTATAACTTCATTTATAATAGCATTGTTTTAATTTATGAGGCCACTTGTAAATTGAGTCATTTAAAATGCATTAAGGGAGTCATAAAATAAGAATACTGTGTGAATCTTTTGAAATACGAACATCTATTACCTTTTATATTGTGGAAATTTATATAGTTATGTATATAACTATATATCTCATCCCTCAAATGAGATGTACTTAGGGACCCTGATGTCTAAAATTTACACATTTTCTTTTTATTTATTTATTTTGGCTGCTCTGGGTCTTCGTTGCCACGTGTGGGCTTTTCTCTAGTTGCGGCGAGCAGGGGCTACTCTTCATTGCAGTGTGCAAGCTTCTCATCGCGGTGGCTTCTCTTGTTTCAGAGCACGGGCTCTAGGCGCATGGGCTTCAGTAGTTGTGGCGCACGGGCTCAGTAGTTGTGGCTCATGGGCTTTAGAGCGCAGGCTCAGTAGTTGTTGCTCGTGGGCTCTAGAGCGCAGGCTCAGTAGTTGTGGCACACGGGCTTAGTTGCTCCGCAGCATGTGGAATCTTCCCGGACCAGGGCTTGAACCCATGTCCCGTGCATTGGCAGGCGGATTCTTAACCAGGGAAGCCCTAAAATGTACACCTTTTCAAAAGTCATTTTGCAGAATCTTAGGGGGAAAAAAACCTCTTTTCATTGATGAATTGAGGCTTTGTATGAGTCATTTATGGCCAGTTTTTAAATTAATGAATATTTGCATGTAATTAGAAGTGTTGAATTCTTAATGACTGACCTACAAATGAATGTAGGACTGTATTTCACATATAGTCTATGTTAATATTAAGACTTAATTGAATTTGTGCATTTTGTTATTTTTTATTTTTGGCTGTGCTAGGTCTTCGTTTCTGTGTGAGGGCTTTCTCTAGTTGTGGCAAGTGGGGGCCACTCTTCATCGCGGTGCGCAGGCCTCTTCACTATCGTGGCCTCTCTTGTTGTGGAGCACAGGCTCCTAGATGCACAGGCTCAGTAGTTGTGGCTCACGGGCCCAGCCGCTCCGCGGCATGTGGGATCTTCCCAGACCAGGGCTCGAACCCGTGTCCCCTGCCTTAGCAGGTAGGTTCTCAACCACTGCGCCACCAGGGAAGCCGAATTTGTGCATTTTGGTTGTTCTGCTTGAAATGAAGGTCATAGGTAATTGAATATACATTTTTTTTTTTCCCCACCATGGGAAATACTCTTAGATTAATAGGGTTAGCATTGATAAGTTAACAGCAACAATAAAAACACTCACATAAAACAAACCAAATTTTCTTTATGGCTTCACAGATGTATCTTGTGATTTTTCCAGAGGGAACAAGGTATAATCCAGAACTAACAAAAGTCATTTCAGCTAGTCAGACATTTGCTGCTCAAGAAGGTAAGTAAAAAATTACCTATATTTGAAAATAAAATTTTTAAAGATAATGACCTTTTAAATTTTTGTTCCTAGAGAAGATATTTACGTTTTACAACAGATGAAATGAATGAATGTTTTTATTCCTTGAATGAATGTCTGTATTATTTCTTAGGAAATGAAGTTTCTTCTCATGTTATTACATATGACTGAGAGATTAAATTCAAGTGCTTCCTACAGTACATATTTTGGTACCGTGGATTTAGGCAGAATCTATCTGGGCACATGATTATTTAGATGGAAACTTTTTCTGCAATATGGGTTCTGTGTGATGGACAGAGTTTCTATTTTGTAGGTTGACAGACCTAGATTGGAATCCATATTCTGACATTTATTAGCAGTGTGGTTGCAAGCTGCCTGATGTTACTGAGCATCAGTTTGCTCATCTCTTAAAAAAGATCTGTGGATTCTGCATCCATGGATTCAATCAACCACAGATGGAAAATATCTAAAATAAATTTTTTTCAGGAAGTTCCAAAAAGCAAAACTTGAAATTGCCATGCTGGCAACTATTTACAAAGCATTTACATTGCACTTACAACTATTTACATAGCATTTGTGTTGTATCAGTTATTATAAGAAATCTAGAGTTGATTTAAAGCATACAGGAGGATATGTGCAAATACTAGGCCATTTTATATAAGGGACTTGAGCATTTGTGGATTTTGGTATCCAAGGGGTGGAGTTGGGATTGGGGGTAGTCTTGGAAGCAATCCCCTGTGGATCCCAAGGGGTATGCCTAAGTCTGTGTAAGAATTAAAGTGGAAGATACGTGAAGTTCCTATTGGAGAATATTACACACAGTTAGTTCACAGTTCTTAAAAGCTATTAATGTCCCCAATAATGAGAATGTTCTTAACATCATATTTTAGAAAACTGGATAACTGATACACCAATAAGCTATACAATTTAACCAAATTGGCTGTGTTCTCAAAGGTGTCTCTAAAGATTGACCTTGGATTAGCATGTGGTCTGCCTACTTTGATCAGCAGCGCTGCCTGAGCAGATGCCTTGTTGCAGCGCTCTGCCAGGGCCTCTGAGGTTATGAGAGCCTGCTGCAAGGGTGGTACTGTTCTGTGTCAGCTCTGACCCATGTGGTAGTGATCATTCGAAATGTGGCTGGTGCATCAGAGGAAATGCGTGTTTAATTCTAGCTGGTTTGAGTCAACTCATCATGATCTGAGACGGAATTCTCCCCCTAGACTTCCATCTGGCTAGTCTCCATTTTCCTCCTACCCTCTGGTGCTTTCCGCTTAGGCTCCTTTCTAGCCTCCGCTTCTCCTTCATTCTTTCCTGTTTCATGTTATTTCTGGTGTCTGACTTCGGTCTTTTTCATTTATTTCACTTTCTATGTTTTTCATGGTGGCCTTCATCTAAATCCAGAGCTGTTGCCACCATTTACTTCACTGCTGATGACTCACAAAAAGCTTCCTCCCATCCGCACCTCTCTGCCTGACTCAAGACCTGTGTTCACAGTTGCCCAGTGGAGAGCTTCACCTGACTGACTCAAAGGCATGTCCCAAACTTGGTGTGTCAAATACAGTGTTTACCTTTCCACTCATACGCTCTATCAGCTGGGCCTCTCTCTTCAAGGTTCCTTCAGCTTTTCTTAACAGAATATACACGTATCCCTCTTGAACTAGTATTTAGTCTTAGATGAACATTACCACTAGCTTTGGGCTGCATTCCCAAGTGTATATTAATTCATCCTTAGGCAGGTTACTTTGTTTCTTTTGGTCTGTTTCCTTATTTGTAAACCAGGAATCATATCTCCTTCATAGGGCTTTTGTGAGATTCAGTGACATAATGTTTACAGCAAGCCTGGTATGTAATATATATTTACTAAGTCATTACTGCTAACTTAGGATTAGGAAATGGAGGAGACGTACCACCACAGGTACATCTACCAATAACGGCAAAAATTGATAGCCGGTCCCGAGGGATGAAGCAGAAGGGCTAACAAAATTGGACGTAAGAACTCCAGTCATTACCGTTTGGAGCTATTATGTAAAAGGCAAGCAAGGCTTATGTCTTGTAACCACATTCCTTTAAGAAATATTTATTACAAAGCAGATATGAGTCCTTATCCAATAGAGGATAGATAAGAACACACGTATATGATGTACAGAGATAAGATGTGAGAAGTACAGATAGCACTCCGTGGGAGTTAAAGGAAAAGAGAACTAGTGGCATGCAGGGTGTCTGGATGACTGCCAAGGGGAGGTGACGTCGGAAATGTAGAATTTGGGCCGACACGTATGGGGAAGGGAGAGAATTCTAGGTATAAGAAATAACAATAGCAAAGACATGGAGTTAAGAGCAAAGAGTTTGATGTCTTCAAGCAAAAGATGAGTGAAGGACAGCTGTGTGAGTTCAGTGCGTCAGGCCGGCGTATCAGTCACGGAAGGCGGCGAGGTTTAGGCTTAGTGGTCTGGACGTCACTGCAGAGTTGAATGGAAGTCATTGAACAGTATTCTTTTTAATTAGTTCATTATGTGTCATTTAAGAAGTCACAGTCTTAATTCCATTTTTCTAAAAGCATGTTCTATAACTGAGCCCACAAGATATTTTGGGGGAAAAAAGTGTTTCATGTCCAAATGGGCTTAGAAAATGTTGCATTTTATATCCTTTCCTTAGGGAGTTATAGTTCACGTTCGTGCATTAGTCTCAGAAAAGTACTGTTGTGAAAATGTCTTACTTATTTTGTTTAAGGAGCCGTTTTCTAAATTTGTATAAGAAGACAATGATCTAAAATGGTTACACAAAATTTGGGGTTTTCATGAAGTAAATTTTTATGGTTTCAGAAAATTGCGGCTCTCCTGAATTATTCCTTCTCTAATGATTCTAGATTGCTGAGCCCTGACTTTAACAAAATATATATTTTACTCTTTGAAGCTTAAAATAGTTTATAGATGAATTAGTTTGAGACTCTTCATAAAAACTTGAGTTATGAAGGCAATAAACTATATAAATTTTCAGTTACACTTGTGTGTCACCTCTTATATCCACTTTAATTCTGTTTAGGAATTACAATTTTATGTTAGATGAGATGAAAGGGAAACAATAAACTTAATATTTGGGAATTTTTTTCCTGTTACTTTTCATGTGTCTTGTAAAATCTGATGCATTTTGTTGTCATTAAATAATCAACTACATCTTGGAACACGTGTTTTCAATGAGTTGAACAGAGAGCTGAACTCTGGAGAAGTTGACCTAGAGTGCTTTAAGTCCTCACAGGCTGTGCTGATTTCATTTTTGATTTCTAACATGTAACACATTCTGCTAAGGTGGTACAACTAGCCATAATGTCTTCTAGGAGTTTATAATTTAATAGGAGAGATAAAACATGATTGTATTTGTTATCTATTGAGGTGTAACATATTATTCCGTACCTTAATGGCTTAAAATGACAAACATTTATTATCTCACGGTCTCTGTGGGTCAGATGTGTTTAGCTGGTGGCTTCGTGCTCAGGGTCGGTCTGAGGCTGCAGTCAAGGTGTCCGCCGGGGCCGTGGTCACATCCTGGCTCCCCTGGGGAGGAGCTGCCCCTGCGCTCATCACACGGCTGTCAACAGGCCTCGGGTGCTCTGTGGCTGTTGGCTGCAGAGTCCGTTTCTTGACACCTGAGCCTCTTCACAGAGCTCCTAACAACAGGACAGCTTGCTCCCCTAGAGCGATGGATCAGGGAGGGGCGGGGACAGGAAGAGGGAGAGGTAGTGACAGTGGGAGCATAAGGGATGGTGAGCGAGACAAGCACGGTCTTCTCAGAACCTAACCTCAGAAGTGGCACCCCGTCGCTTTTGCCATATTCTCTTCATTAGAAACAGTTACCTGGGTCCAGCCCACACCCCAGGGGAGACTGTACAGGGGTGTGACTACAAAGAGGGCCTTGCTAGAGGCTGCTGACATCAGTGGTGCTCAAGTAGGAGTTTTGCGTAAATAGTGACATCGCGCTAGACTGTGATGAGACACGGATGAGCAGAGTGCACTTGAGGTGAACTCAGTTCCAGATGCGGGTTCGGTGAGGCTTCCTGGGAGAGGAAGCATCTGGGCGGCTGTAAAGAGCCTCGCTGGAAGAAGCGTTGGTCGTGGGGAGGCTGCCTTTCAGTAGGAAAGGGTGGCACGAGCCCAGGAGTGCTGAGAGCTCTCTGCTGTCTCAAAGTCAGTGTGTGGGGCGTGGGGCAGAGTGAGAGCCTGGGGGGGTTCCCGCTACTGGCAGGAAGGCCTGAGCGCGGTTCCGCAGGGGCAGTTGAGGTCCTCACAGTAGTAACCAGATGTCCAGAAACTAGTACGCTGTTTTCAACACCTTTGCCTCTTACAACCCTTTTATAATGTGTGATGGACTAATTCATTAAATATATTAAGCAAGTCAGAATTAGCCCTGGACATTTTATTGTATCTTGTCACTGGTCAATTCACTAGTTATTGTTGAAGTATAATAAGTTTGCATGATGGAATGAGTATAATCCCAGATTACTGTCTGTGTGGAGAATAACATAGAATTATTGTGTGTTTTGGCTTTGAAGGACTAATTTCTTTTGTACAATTTACGTGTGTGTATGTGTGTGTGTGTGTGTGTGTGTATTCCTATTTAAATATTGGTGTACTTTTTTCAGTTGGGTAAGACAAATGATTATTTGCAAATTGATTTATTTACTGTGTTATGTTTACGCAGATTTGTCGTTTCAGTCCAGGTTTTAGGGCCTGTGTTAGTCACCTCAGGCTGCAGTAACAAGCCACGACAGACTGAGTGGCTTAAACAGCAGACATTTATTTTCTCCCAGTTCTGGAGGCTGGATATCCAAGATCAAGGTACCAGCAGGGGTGGGGTGGGGACAGGGACAGACACTTCAGTCCATAACAGGGCCTTAAATTATTTTTCTATATGTGATTACATTTAATACTAATATTTCTTAATTTATCATTTGAAAAACAATGTATATGAATACATTATATATTATT